CATACTGTCAGAAGACTTCCAGTCGTCTAAGCGATGAGCTGATGATAAGCAGAGCAAAAGCCATGAACAACCACCGAGGAGAGAAGAAAAGAAAAAGCAGAGAGTCAACAAGCAATGAGGGAAGTCAGCTGACTTTCCAAAGTATGCCTACTACATTCCTTTGACCTTGCCAAGGTCTCAAATCCTGGCACAAATCCAGCACTGGGTTAGAAGACCCCCACCCCTACTGCATGATTCCCCAAGGGCAGACAAGAGCAAGCATTGTGACTATCATCGTACTTATGGTCACAACACAAAAGACTGCCAACACTTGAAGGACAAGCTGGAGTTCTTAGCTCGCAATGGGAAATTAGAAGGTTATGTGCAGAAGCCTTATACCTAGCAACCAACTCAAACTCACTTCATGCAGGGGTATGATCGACCTCAGGGGCAGAGGTATCAGCTAGGCAGCACGCAAGATGTGTATCAAGACAACCAATATCCCTCGGAGCAAGGCAGAGCGTACAGGGGACGTTGGTTCAATAGGCGAGGCCAAGGACAGAAAACTGCTGCCTAGAACCAAAAAGATAAGAAAGGGGTAGACTATGCTGGGATACCCCCGCCCTCTGGTACAATAAACATGATCTCGGGTGGCATTCACTCAGGAGGCCAAAGCGCCCGTGGTCGTAAAGCATATGCCCGCCAAGAGATGACTGTTAATAAGAACAAGCCCTTGAAGCACCCGTTTGAAAAAGCAGAATGGTAAAATGCACCCATCACATTTACTTCGACAGACTATAAGTGAGCAGACGGAGAGCCCGACGTTATGATGCCACATGCAGATCCTTTTGTGGCAACGGTCCATATAGGCAATCATAACGTCAACAAAGTCTTTATTGATACTGGTAGTTCGCCGAATATCCTGTACTTGAGTTGTTTTCAGAAAATGCAGCTGAATCCGAGCTCACTGCAGAAACACGAGGGGCATATATATGGGTTTGATAATCAGCTCGTACCGGTCGAAGGAGTAATTACTCTTCCCATCTATGTGGGCTCGGAACCATGCTTCATGATGGCTTCTGTTAGCTTTCTCGTCGTTAAGATGGAATCAGCTTTCAATGCTGTACTAGGAAGAGCCACTCTCTGCGAGCTGAAGGCTGTCATCTCACAACCCCATCTCTGTATGAAAATTCCCAACTCCTTATGGGGTAGGAGTGTTTAAGGGGAATCAAAAGATGATCAGAGCCTGCTACCAAGATACTTTTAAGAAGGTTGAGCTCGCTACGGCCCTGGTAGGTTCTGAAAATCACAGGCCAACCCAGCTCGGTCAGCAGACAACGAGCATATTAGATATCGAACACTGACCTGAAGGTGCCGAGCAAAAGGCAAAGCTGGTAAAGCCAGTGGAAATAGTTCTTTTAAACCCTGATGTGCTAGAAAGAACAGTTAAGATCGGCACCAAGCTCACATAAAAAGAGCGAGTAGAGCTTTTGGAGTTTCTAAGGGCTAATCAAGCTGTGTTTGCATGGACTACAGATGAAATGCTTGGCATTCCAGCGGAGTTGATAGTCCACAAGCTCAGCACAGACCCCACCAAAAGGCCGGTGGTTCAGAAGCGTCGCCTTTTTGGCCTTGAGAAGTAAGCTGCCATAGATGAAGAGATACAAAAGCTGCTACAGGTAGGCTTCATCAGAAGAGTGGAATACGTTGAGTGGGTGTCCAACCCTGTGCTCGTCAAAAAACCAAACGGCAAGTGGAGGATGTGTATTGACTTCACCAACTTAAATGAGGCATGTCCAAAAGACCCTCATCCCTTGCCAAATGTGGAGAAGCTAGTAGAACAGGCAGCTGGACATGAGCGGATGAGTTTCCTTGACGCTAGCTCAGGGTACCACCAGGTTCAGTTGCTACTGGATGACCAGGAGAAAACAGCTTTTTATGCTGGTGACGCAATCTACTACTATGTCATGATGCGTTTGGCTTGAAAAATGCTGGCGCAACATATCAGAAGCTGGTACAAATCGTCTTTAAGCTCCAGATCGACAGGAACATAGAAGTATATGTGGATGACATGATAGTCACCAGTGTGCGAGCTGAGGATCATATAGACGACCTGAATGAGACTTTTCAGAACTTGCGCCGAGCCCAAATGAAGATGAATCCCCTAAAATGCACGTTTGCTATAGAATCAGGAAAATTCCTAGGGTACGTGGTATCCAAGAAAGAAATTGAGGTAAATCCAGAGAAGGTTCAGGCCATTCAGTAGATGGAGCCGCCCAGGACTGTAAAAGATGTGCAGCGTCTGACAAGTCGTGTTGTTGCATTGCATAGGTTCATTGCCAAGTCGGCAGAAAGATGCCCTCCATTCTTTAAAGCCCTGAGAAAACCTAAGAACTTTTAGTGGACAGATGAATGTCAATAAGCGTTTGACGAGCTCAAACAATATCTGGCATCAGCACCCCTGCTGTTTAAACCTGTAGAGGGGGAGAGTTTATACTTGTATCTGTGGGTCACAGAGGAAGCAGTAAGTTCGGTTTTGCTAAGAGAAGAGAATAAACATCAAAAGCCTATCTATTATGTAAGCAAGGTTTTACAAGGCGCAGAATAGAACTACCCACTAGCAGAGAAGGCTGCTTTTGCTCTGGTTTACATGGCCCGTAAGTTGAGAGCTTACTTTCAATCACATCAGATTGTTGTCTATACCAATCTGCCGTTGAAGAAGATACTGCAGAAACCTGAACTCTTTGGTCGACTGATCAGATGGAGTGTTGAGCTGAGTGAGTACGACCTCAAATTTCAACCACGCACAACCATAAAAGGCCAGGCTATGGCGGATTTCCTAGTGGAGTGCCTCTCAGCGACTATGGAAGAAAAGGTACCTGAATACCCAATCTGGGTCCTGTATGTAGATGGAGCCGCTAGCATTGAAGGATCGGGTGCTAGGGTTGTGTTAGTGGGCCCAGATGGCTTTAAATCCGAGTATGCATTGAGGTTTAAGTTTCAAACAACCAATAATGTTGCAGAATATGAAGCCCTTATTTATGGTTTGAAGCTGGCGTCCGAACTGAAAGTACAGAGCATGTAAGTCTTTAGTGACTCTTAGCTCGTGGTGGGCCAAATGAATGGCAGCTGTGAAATCAGGGATCCTCAGCTAGGTCGTTATGGTTCTGTGGTCAACAGATTGAACTCAAGATTTGCCTCTTTCCAGCTCGACAAGACACCTAGAGCAGATAACCAACGAGCTGACGAGCTGTCAAAATTAGCCTATTCACAAGACATCAACCCTCAGAGATCAACAATTGTAGAGGTACTTGACGCTCC